GGAAAGAAATGGAATCCATGAATTAGATTCAAACAGATATCCAAGAGATAAAAACCACATTGAAAATTTGCAAAGCTGAATGAATGAAAATGAAGAAAGGATATCAGACCTAGAAGACAGGACTGTGGTTAGTGATCACAAAAAGAAAGATATGCTAAAAATAGCAAGGGGCCATGAAAAAAACAATCCAACAGCAGCAAGATGATGCAAAATAAGATTGATTGGAGTCAATGAAAAAGCAGGAGTCAACACAAAGGGCATAAAAAAACCTGTCCATAGAAGTAATGGAAGAAAACTTTACAAGCATATAAAAAGAATTGAACATACAGATAAATGAGGCATATAAAACTCCAAACAGCCATGACCCAAATAAATCTACATCAAGTCACATAATAATCAGTATCCCAGTAATTCAGCTGAAGAACAGAATATTAAAAACTGTTAGAGGAAAGAAACAAATTACCTATAAAAGAAAGGCCATTAAAATACACAGCAGACTTCTAAACACAAACCCTTAAGGCAAGGAGAGCTTGGAGTGAAATATTTCAAGTCCTAGGAGAAAACACCTCCAACAGATTCATGTACTCTGCAAAACTATCTTTTCGAATTGGTGAAGAAATAAGATACTTCTATGACAAAGAACAACTGAAGAAATTCATGACCACAAAACCAGCTCTACAAAATGTTCCGAAAGATAGTTTAGAAAGAAATAATGAAGACCACAGTTCCAAGAACACCAGTAGAAAGAAGCCTCTAGGCAAGGCAAGCAATTCAAGAGAAGAGAAAGACAGGGAACCAACAACAGGAAAATCATGTGACAAGGATAAGCCAATAAATACCAGTAATAACCATCAATGTAAATGGTTTCAATTCACCAATCAAAAGAACCATACAGGCAGAATGGATCAAGAAACAATACCCAACCATTAACTCAATAAGAAAATCATAGACTAAAAGTCAAATGATGGAAATTAATACTCCATGCAACAGAAAGCTGGAAAAAAGCAGCGGTAACTGTTTTGTTTGCAGGCAGACTGAACTTCAAGCCAAGACTGAGTAAAACAGATGAAGAAGGTCACTACATACTTCTTAAGAGGAAATATCAAGAAGAGATAACAATTACAAATATATATGCATGGAATATGGGTGCACCCAACTTTATAAAACAAATGTTAATGTACATGAAAAATCAAATATGCACTAACACAGTTGTAGTGGGGGATCTCAATACCCCACTGTGACAAATAGATCAACTAGACAAAAAAATCAACAAATATCAGAAATGAGCCAAAATTTAGAACAAATGGACTTACTACATGTCTACAGGTGTTCCATCACACAACATCACTATACATATTTGTCTCAGCTGCACACAGGACATTCTCCAAAATATACCACATACTAGCTCATAGAAC